TCCTGGCTGTTAGGCCTTTGGTTACAAGCTCATGAGGAGCTCTACTTCAGGTACTGTATTTATACTAGAATCCCTATTTTCCCGTATGTTCTGGTGTGTTCCCTCCAGTTCCATATCAGTCAGCATTTATTTAGTCAGCACCTCGGCCATCTCTCGGGCTTGTGCTGGATTGCCAATCTCCAACACCGGTCTTCGCGACCTTCGTACGACCAATGCGGCCCTCCACACGTGGCTCTTACACAGACGACTGGGACCCATAATGTTGTCATCCCAGCCGATAACATTGACGAAGAGCCGTATCTGGACTTGGACGTGTACGACGACTGTGACATTCCTCTTGATGTTGTGTCGGGCCATCTCATTTCTGGTGGATCGTCTGTTGCGGCTAATTTTACAGTAAATGAGAACAGTGGGATTGCTCAGTCAGGAACTTGAAGTGAGGAGTATTCTGATGCTGAAGCTGAAGAGTCGGAGGAAGCGCCCGTAGTTCTCGGGCGGGGCCAGCGTACGAAGACCGTAGCGAGGCGTCACCAAGGCCCAGCATGGGAGGAGCACTAGTGGTTTTTCTTGCCGTATTTTGCCAGAGTTTTTTTTTCGAAATTAGCTCAAAATCGCCCTCTGGTCACTCTGGCGCCTTGAAAAAAAAAGGTGTTCATTCATTGGCCATCGCCGTCACAGGTACCAAATTTGTTCAGTTCACGACCCTCCGTCACCCGCCACCTGAACATTTGGTACAGTATTTAACCGTGACCTCGTGATACGTGACCTGATGCTCTTGTTTGTCCCAGTACCGTGACATTGATCAGCCCGTCTTGGCTGGTTTGACCATCTGTCCACCAGAATTTGGAAAGAGCACTCAGTGCATAATGCAGATAAAAATCTCACTCGAAACCTCCGGGCTCACATTGTTTTTCATGCCTCCGTTTTTCGGAATGCTGTATCCGCCGGCTCCGAGCAGTCGAGGCACCCCTACCAAAAATTCAGTCAGCCGCCTGGGGCGAGTCTCTTCGACTGCTCCTTGTATTCTTCTGTCATGGCTCTCCGCATGATCCATGCCATTAAGCCCGCCACCTACACTGTCCGCTACTCACGCAGAATGGCCGGAAAGCCCCTCCTTTACATTTCCAGCGCCTCTGCCTCCCTCGGCGACGCACTCTTCGGGTACTCACAGGGAATCACCGCAGCGTTCCAGGTCCAGCCTTCCTTCATTCATCGCATGTACGGCAAATCGGTCACGCTCGAGCAAATCCAGACCGGGACAACAGGGATCTCCCCTCTTCTGCCAGGTTCGCTTGAATAGAACTCCTTATAACTTCGGGTTCCAACTTCTGAATCGCAGGTATCACGATTGCGTGCCTTGGCATAACCGCCCTATTTGCTGCGTTGGGCTCCGCTTACGTTACAGACTACCTGGGACGTCGCATATCCATCCGGATTGGCGCCTTCATCTATCTCATTGCGTGTTGGTGGTTCGCTTATTCTCTACTACTTCCGTGCTCATATTCTCCTCTAGCATGCATCCAGATGTTTGCACCGAACCTCACCACCCTCATAGTCGGCCGTTGTATACAAGGCCTCGGGGCTGGCATGCTAAGTACCGCGGTCCCGGTCTACCAATGCGAAATTGCGCCCGCCAACACACGCGGAACCCTCATCTCAATCGAAGCGTTCTGCATGAATGCAGGGTATGCCGTATCTGCCTGGTCTGGCTACGCGTTCTTCATGGACGCACGCCACTCGGAGACTGCGTGGCGCGGGCCGTACGGGGTGCAGGCGCTCGTCTCTCTCGTCCTCGCCATCTGGACGTTCTTCCTTCCCGAGACGCCGCGGTGGCTCATCCAGAACGGGTTCAAGGCCGAGGGGCTGTGGACCCTCGCGGATCTGCATGCGGCGGGCGACGTCACGGACGAGGGCGTGAACCGCACATACAACGCGATCGCAGACACCGTCGCGTTCGAGCAGCAGGCGGGCGCCGCGCCGTGGAGCGATCTTTTCAAAAAGTACACGCGCCGCACGGTCATCGGCTGGACGGCGCGCATGTTCGCGCAGCTCAACGGGATCACCGCCATCTTGCACTTCCTCCCGGAGAATCTCGCCCGCGCAGGATTCGATGTGCCCCACGCGCTGCTGTGCTCCGGCGCGTGCTCAATCCTCTACGGTCTCGGTACGCTCCCCGCGATTTTGTGCATCGACAAGTTGGGAAGACGCAGGTTCTTGCTGGTCGGCAGCGTTGCACTTGCGGCCTCGCTCACGCCCATCGGTGTCATCGAACTATTTCGTGAACGACAGCCGCAGCGGATTTCAGGCATGGGAAGTGCGAACGGGGTGTTCATCGGCATGGCGCTGTATCTCTTCTTCTTTGGCGCTACGTATGTCGTCTTCTGATTCTGCCATATTTTCTAAGCTGACAGCACTATTGTCCTCCCGCAGGTGGGGCCCAGTACCGTGGCTTCTAAGTGCAGAACTTTTCCCGCTGCGGATGCGCGCCAAGGGAATGGGGCTCACAACCGCGTCCGATTGGCTGTTCGAGTCCGCCGTTGGTCTGTGGACGCCATCGCTCTTCGAAGTCCTGCATGGCGCATATTACTTCCTCCTCGTCGGGTCATGCCTCATTTCGGGGCTCGTCGTGTGGCTCGTGTACGTCGAAACTGGGCACCAGAGCCTGGAGGAGATCGGTGGCATGTTCGGTGACCAGGTGCCGCCGCCGCGCAAGCTCGAGCAGGAGGACCCGGTATTGGCGCTGCAAAGGCGGCGGGGACGGGGACGGTCGACGCTCAGCATGAACTCGGAGGTCACGGCGGTTACGAGCCTCTTAGCGCGTTCGCAGGTTACTCTCCACCCCACACCCGACGCACAAGCGGCGACCTCCCAGATTACGCTGCTTTCGACAACAGGGAACCTGACGGCTAAGACGGCAGCCGCGAAGGATGTTGCGTGAATGTAATATTATTATTGTATTTTTTGTACTACTTTAATAATTTATGGATGATGCCAATGCGTAATTCCGTTGCGTATGCGTAAATCGTAATACATGGTCGTGCAAGTAGCGTATACAAAATGCAATGCAGGTGAGCGATAATCGATTTCTAGCGGGAGACGGGTGGTGGGTGGCACGCACTTTCCCATTCGCGGAGAGCCAGCACGAAACCGGAATTGGGCTTTATGCACTGGCGCCGCTCCTTGACTAGCCCAAAGGCGGAGTCGTATGTCATCCCGCGGTCACGGATGAGATACGCAATAACGATGGCCGCGCTGCGGGACACGCCCTGCGGGCAATAACGAAGCGGATCAGCACACGGCGTCGTTGCATACCGAGCGTCGGAGACGCACTTGCTGGCAATGCACCAGAACGCTGTCGCCGCCGTCCAACGATGCTTTTATGTAGTTGCACGCCTGCTCGAGGTGCGGGCCCAACGCCGTCGAGGAACGATCCTCGATGTCGATCCGGTGGCACGCGAACCCGGCGTCCTCGGACTGGGGCACCCACCGCGCCTCGAGCACCTGCACCAGGTGTGTGATGTGGTGCTCGTGCAGGAGCTCGTGGTCATGCATGGCCGCAATGGAGCCGAGGTAGAGCGCACCCGTGGAGGCGCCGGCGGAGTCTGGGGAATTGGCGGGTTTGCCGCAAGGGATGGGGGAGAGCACTCGGTGCATTGGGGTGCACATGGCCTCCATCTCTGCGTGGGGGAGACTGTCGAAGGTGATCATGGCGGTGAGAGGATGAAAGCAGGGTGGGTGGTGTACATCTAACACCCGGAAGTTCTCGACAGCTCCGAAGACCCAGACTCTCCTTTGGAGTCGCAACTCGTCATGATCGAGAACCGCTTTTGAGCATGATGACCAAAGTTGAAAACTCCAATCGCCGAGAAAGGGCAGAAATGAACCGATGGCTCACATGAACTCGGAGGAAGCGCATTCGAGAATGAATTCACAAACCAGCAGAATCGCTTGACAGTCAAACAGAAGAAGCTCGTTCGAACCGAGCCATAAGTAGATTGGTTACAGCGGCTGTTTCCGAAAACCGTGGAATTTTTTGCCCGCATCAACTTTGATGAATGCTAAGGATTACCGCTTTGGGTACGACCGGCTCTATCCGGCTCCGGGCTACCGACGCTCCAACAAGTTCATTATCCTTTGAAACTTCAAGTTTGTGAGGGATAAATTTCGAAAGTGCTACTACAAATACATCCTGATGTTTTCTTCCCATGCCAAATTATTTTGGGGGGATCCAACGACTCTTGGAGCAGAAATTACTTCCGCTCCTGCAAACGGCCTGACCGGGCCCATCCCGAAAACGTCGGTGATCCGGACCAAAAGCAGTAGGCCTTAGCCCTCAGGACGAGCAAAAACTTTTGGCCAGCGTCAAGATTTTCGGAAACAGCTGTAACAGGTACTGGTTTTGAGAACTTTTTATTCCTCTGGTTGCGCAATATTTGTCACGAGAATATTCAAGCTAAATCAGGAGCATGCAAGGCTCCGTGGCGGAGGGTACGCGTCTGCTCCATCTGACAAGGACTTCATTAAAATGAAATGCAGAAAGCGCTCGTTCGACTCGAGCCCGAGCCTGTCCCGATGTTGTGCGCTTTTGATATTTTTCATCCAAATGCACGAGGTTCAAGCATTGCGAGAATATTCAAGCCAAGGCAGAATTAGACAAGGCTCGGTGGCGGAGGGTCCGCGTCTGCTGTATGTAAATGAAAATGCTGTTGAAAATCACGTTCGGATCGAGCCCCCAGCAATAGTATAACTGAACATCCCTTTTTCTCCTGGTGCGCAAGACGTCACGGTATCGCGGGAATATTCAGGCCAAGGTGGAGACAGGAAGGGCTCGGTGGCGGAGGGTCCGCATCTGCTGCATTTGTCTGAGTCTTCGAAGCTGAAAGCAGAAGGTGCTCGTTCGATTCGAGCCCGAGCCATAGATTGGTTGTATGAGATTTTTGATTACTCCTGGTACGCAAGATTTATCGAGACGATGTTCAGGCCAAAGTAGGAGTAGGTAAGGCTCGGTGGCGGAGGGTCCGCATCTGCTGTATGTACTATGTAGATGATTATGTTGTCGAAACGCAGAGAAGCTCGTTCGAATCGAGCCCGAGCCATTTTTTTATTCCTCCGGATGCGCAAGATTTATGAGGGTATTCAGTCCCAATTCAGCCCAGAGAAGAAGTAGGCAAGGCTCGGTGGCGGAGGACACGCATCTGCTGCAACTAATGATATTTCTTTGCATTTGAAAGCAGAATACGCTCGTTCGAATCGGGCCCGAGCCATGATTTCGCAATTCCCCTTCCTCTTTTTGCTCTAAGTGCGCCAAATTTTTATGAGGATATCTAGTCCAAAGCAGAAGTAGGTTACCTAAGGCTCGGTGGCGGAGGATCCGCATCTGCTGTATGTAAATGAAAATATTGTCGAAAAGCAGAGGAAGCTCGTTCGAATCGAGCCCGAGCCATGCATGAGGCCTGAGGTTCTGTGACCTTCTTTTATTTCTCTAAATGCGCAATATCTACCACAGGAGTATTCTTCTTGAAGTAGAGTTAGAAAGGCTCTATTGTTTTGGTTTATTCAGACTAGCAAGTAGGATCCGCATCTGCTGTATGTAAATGAAAATGTTGTCGAAAAGCAGAGGAAGCTCGTTCGAATCGAGCCCGAGCCATGCCGTCCATACCTCTTTTCCCTACAAATGCGCCAGATTTATTTATTGCAACTCGGACGATGTTCAGGCCAAAGCAGAAGTAGGTAGGGCTCGGTAGTGGAGGATCTACATCTGCTCCATCTGGCAATGACCTTGTGAAGATAAAAAGTAGAAATGCTCGTTCGACTTGAGCCCGAGTCATGTCTCGCGTATAGAGATCCTTCCTTTTTACTGGTGCACGCCGTGACGCCAGAATATTCTGACTAGAGCATATGTAGACAAGGCTCGGTGGCGGAGGGTCCGCATCTGCCGTATCTGTCGTAGACCTTTCATGCGAAAGCAGAAACTGCTCGTTCGACTCGAGCCCGAGCCATAATTGTGCTATCTTTGAGAATTTTTTTATTCTTCCGGACGCGTAAGACTCATGAGGATAGTATCCAGTCCAGAGCAGAAGTAGGAAAGGCTCGGTGGCGGAGGGCCCGCATCTGCTCCATCTGACAGTGCCCTGAAATATAAAGTAGAAAATGCTCGTTCGAGTCGAGCCCGAGCCATAATTGTGCCGTCGTTGAGAACTTTTTTATTCTTCCGGACGCGTAAGACTCATGAGGATATCCAGTCCAGAGCAGCAGCAGGTAAAGCTCGGTGGTGGGTCTGCTCCGTCTGACAAGGGCTTGATTAAAGTGGAATGCAGAAAGCGCTCGTTCGACTCGAGCCCGAGCCTATAGCACTAGATATTTGCTTTTTCGGCCAAGTGCCTTTTTTTTGCGAGAATATTCCGGTTGACAACATTGAAGGCGAAATGGAGAAGGCAGGCCAACAATGTAGGCGGTCTATTTTAACTTGAAATTCCAAGCAGAAGAAGCTAGTTCGACTCGAGCCCGAGCCACTGGCCGTCGAACGAAAGTCTCTTTCCGCGTCTAGGTAGACAGGACGATTGCGTGAAGACGAGGGGCCGGAAGCGACGACTTCGCGTTTTTGCTTGGAGTGCGTGGCGACGCCTATCAGTGGTGATGCGCAATGCATCGAGAAATTTCAACTCCGACGTGCTTTTCCCACGCACCCAAGCCAAATAAATCCTTGGTCAAATTCTCAGGCACTTTGTACAGCACAGTTGAGAGCTACTTTTGTATGTAGATAATGTCAATAATGTGGCTCTAATGAAAGTCTCCTACAGCCATGAAATGCACAGATGGTGGGTATGCTAACAGCACAATTAAGCCAAGAATAAAAATTCTGTCCCGGAGACTTTGATCTAAATGATAATTCAAGTGTATCTGTCACTTGAAGCCAGGGAAAATGGGCGCCTGGAACCTCAGGCGAATTAGGGCCAAATGGCAGCTGGAAAGTAGATTGCATAAGGAAATAACATTGCACAACGCGTCTCCCAGGCGTCTCCACGTCCGCCAGAGGCGATTTGTGGCCTCTGGACCACCTTTAAAATAATATTAGGCTCTGCAATGGCATATGCAGAACAGATTTAGAGGACATTCCACTCTTAGACTTTGAGCTGAAAGCTTGAAAGTAGCAGTAACGGGACGAAGAAGTATTTTGACCGTCCCAAAATGGGATTTGGGTAGAGGCCAAATAAGTACAAAGTGCACACACGACTTCGTAGATTCACACCAGAAATAGAAAATTTTAGGTGCACATGAATATAATTATGAATCTTTTAGTTTCAGATATCACCGAAGCAATTAGTTTCGGCGCCGCTTAAATCCCATTGTCAGCCAATCAAATTTGATCAAAGGGATTTCAGCTGCGCCGAAACTAATTGTTTCAGCTCAGTTTTCGGTGGTAATCTAAACTAAACGATTCATAATTATTTTCCCCACCTAAAATTTTCTATTTCCGGCTGCGACCGTGAGCTCGGCTATAGGGATACAGAGCGGCCCAGGGACGATGGTGTAATTAGTGCATGTACTTCCTGGAAACCGGCGTTCCTAAGCGGGACCGTGCCGTGTAATCCTACAGGACCCATGTCAATCCCTTTGGAGGCCAGGTCCGGCGCCGGACAAAAATTTGGTGATTTTGGCCACGAACCTAGGTCCTGGCCGGACAAAAATTGGGGACTTGAGGCGCCCAGCCTAGGTCCTGTCCGGACAAAAAGACGAGGTCAGGTTGAATTTTGGGTTGAGCTAAGGCTGTAATTTTGGCCGAAAACGCTTTTTTTCAGTGCGGAATGCGCGGCAAACCGTTTTTCAAGGAATCAGCACCATAAATGGAGGCGCTGGAAATTTTTGAGCATTTTGGCCTCGTGGGAACGGAAAATTACCCTTTTCGTACACCTCGGCTAGGTCCTGTCCGGACAAAAATCGCGCTTCGAGTGCGAAAACTTGTCCGGACAAAAAATGGCCGATCGGGCAAAGTTGGGACCTGGCCTCCAAAGGGATTGTCATGGGTCCTAATCCTACCTACCTGAGGATGCTACTCACGCAATGTTTATGTGCAAACATATCCCTCTTGTAGAGATCAGAGCAAAATTTTTCGAAAGATTGTTCGCCAATCACCCCGAGCTTCGCGGAGTTTACACTGACCCTGGTCCATTCTTCAAGGACCTCCTTGTAAAGGAAAAAATTGTTGGACTCCTGGGAAAATTGGCCTATGAAATATTCGAGGTCTTTTACAGTGAGCCCATGCTGGTAATCAACCCAGCACTATATACCCCCCAAAACTAAACTGTTGAAATGAAGCTATGGGCCAGCCATTCAACAGTCATATTTCTTTTATTTCTTCTTCTTTGTTTTTTCTTCGTAGTAGTTCAGCATGCGTGCCCAGAGGGACTGTTGAGTCGAAAGCGGCCAAATGATTTCTGGCTGCTGGGGATTTAAGGTCGACTCCGAGGAATTGGAGTGGGCCACCCACGAGGTTGTAACCGGCAACCTGCCTGCTCTTGTCCGAGCCAGGCCGGGATTTTCATTGGCTACCTAGATTTTCCGCCCCCCTCTTGGTAGTACGTGTGTTCTATGTATTGATGGGTGACTTTTAGCCTACAAGAGTTACGATGTCATACTTAGTAAACTGACTGTTCCAATTGTGGGACCGTGTCAGTATAATATACCTCCTCCTCCTCCTCCTACCTACCGGTGTGATATTGTTGGTCGACGTCTGTCGTCCGTCAGAGAATGTCGTAACCTGCTCTCGGCTATTTCCGTCCTTGTTCCGATCTGTCAACACCGAATCATTCCTGTACCAGTTCAACAGTTGCACGTCCAGTCGGTCTTCAAGTTCGCTGCAGTGATACGGCAACGTTCTTTTCAACTCCCAGAATATCCCCCCCCCATAATATGATTTCCTCCCGTCGGGGCCGCTGGGATACCCGCAGGGCAGCATGGCACGTTTGTAGACGTTGGGACCGAATTAATATGCTTTCGGATTAGCAGAGAGGAGCATTCCTTTACTAACCTAACATCAAAAGGATCATTTCACTAGGTAGCTTGATTGCAGGGCCCAGGCCCACCTTTCCAATTAAATCTACCCTTATCCGATCTTCTCCCTATGCCACTTGTCCTTGACTTACAGATGTCGAAACCGCATGGAACATCCAGCACAACTTTTATCTTGACCACGAACCATCATGTCGAATGCACCCAATGGCACAGCCTCAGATTCCGGATTCCTGTCCTCCTTCACCTTCAGCAATAACTTGGTCGAGGTCGGTGCCTTGACCGCGTTGGTCGGCTCGAGTGTTGCCGAGTCCCTTGTCCTGGGAAACCGTGGGGCAGCCGGTGTTGCGTGGGCCGCAACAAGCTCGTTCGGAACCATATCAGTTGTTAAGGCCTGCTTCTGTGGCGCGAGCAGCGGCTGGCTGCGAGAAACTTTGGGTATCCGCACTGCCTCGTCCGACTCAGCAGTCGGGCTGGAATTGGAGCATAATTCCAATCGAGCCGGGAAGGCTCGGAGAAACGTTGGAGAGCCATTGGCCATATTCTGTCACAGAAAAGAGGTTCGTTCATCGTTTCCATCGATTAGCTGCGTACGTAGACCGGCTCATCCTTAAATTCAAGGAGGAACTCGGGTATATCAAAGGGCAGAAACCACGTCAGATGGAAGTGGCATGGAGCGACGTCTACGCGTTGGATCATTCCACTTCGCTTATGCTCCGCAGTGTTCCCAACACTGGCCTTGGAAATCCTGTTCAGATTTTCACGTATGGGAACTACACTTTTCTCCGTAATCCCCATACCCGGATCCAAGTCCCTGCCATCGTCCTTTCAGCCGCGAAAATGATAGAAGTGTACGTACTCTGGCACCGAGGCGCATCACTTTTGGGACTTGCATCGGCCATTCCATGGTTCTTTTTCTTAATCGGCGCGGTTGTGATAGAAACCCATGAGGTATTGCTCTCAAGAACTCCTGCGCCGGAGTTCGGAACTTTGGACATCGTCGCCGGACAACTTCCGATGGTAAGCCACCCCGGCGGCCATCGAAAAATCATCTTGGGTGTCGCAGAGAACTTGAGAACGTATCTAC